ACTCGGTTTCGAAAGGGTGAGTCTTTTTCGGATCGTCTGAGAACTTCCAACCTAGGGCCTCCAATATTCCTTCAAACGATTTTGTAGCAAGGGTGCATGTCGGCTGAGGCTCCAACAAAGGAAAGTCATCAAAAAGGACTCCCCCCAGCAACTTGCAACAGGTGCTGCCTACAAACCAAAGGCCCCTTGAAGCACGGTTGAGACCAAAGACGCTCGAGCTGGCACCGAAAGGAAGGCTGTTGCGTAGAGAGTAAACAGGGCGCCCCGTCTCATAATGGTGGACCATCAGCACTGCAAAAGGTCGGGACGCCTGGCTCACAGGGATCTGCTTATCGGCTTTTGAGAGATTTATGCAGCGACCCCTCCATTCTACCTCGTGTGCAAAATTCGCGTGAAGCTTTTCCGCCAGCCTCTCGCCCGTCTTCAGCTGAACATGCACCATCCTGCTAGGATCATCCTTGGCATGCCTGACCGTCGTGGTTATAAAGTGAGCCAGAGACGCCACATAATCCACATCATGCAAGGCCAAAGAATCCACTGCAGTGTAGGCTCGGTTGACTCCGGACTTCTTCAGGTCGTCAATGATCCTGGGCTTCCCGGATTGGACGATGGCGAAACGCCGGCTGACTACAAGGTCGTCCGACCCCACATGGAGCCCAAGGTCAGGCAGGGAGCTAAAGGGCCCTTCAAGGAAACCGGCTTCCACTCCCTGAAGAGTAGAATCCCAAAGCAAGCGTGCCATCTCAGGATCATCTGAGTGCACATTCCTGGATTCGAGTTTTGGTCTCTGCCAGCGTGCAGACAGCTTCAGAAACTGTGGTGTGGTGGTTGCAGGTACCAACTTAGTGTCGAAGAAGGGTGACTCCGTAGCCGTCCCTACCAAATCCAGGCCGGCCATGACATCACCGGCATCCAAATCTGGGCACCCAGACTCGACCAACAGCTTTTTGAAAGGTAAAAGTCTCTTCCTTTGGAACACTTTCTGGGCGTGCTCAGGGAGCGTAGCAAAGTATCTAGCTTCTTCTGCCGCTAGTTCTTTGGACCCAACTGTCAATTTTTTGGCAAAGGCAAGGCGTTGGTTAGCCATATGACTTCTACCCTTGGTGAGTAGTTCAAAAAGGGGTTGGCTCTTGTCACATCTTCTACGGCAAATTTCTCATCAAAAGGGGGTGTACCAACGTCAGGGCCCTTTCAAGAAATTGACTGGGAGTATGGTAGATGCCAAATTTGTTATCGTCCCCACTTATTTCCCTTTGTTCCTCCCCGTTAAGCCCCCCCTGAGATTGTGGAGGAAGAAATTTATGTGCATCAGGTGGTTGTGGTTATTGTCGAGTGAGGCAACGGTATTCAGGGATAAGAATTTTTTGGTGTCGGTTTTGGCTGTGTCCAAGTATGGGCTTTTTGGGGGGTGAAAGGTTAAAACTTTGGACAAACTTTTTATGGAGGGCTTGACAAAGGCGAGTGCACAGCAACCAGGGATACTCACTCTCGGCTGCGGTATCAGAGGTCCAGGCTCCAAAGGAATTGGTGACCTGGTAGGGCTTGTGCACGTGGTCACCTTGGCATGGCTTGGCAAGGTGGTCATACACATCATGTGTGCTTCTCCAAGTGGTTTGTTTTGGGCGTTCCCCTCCATGCGCACAATTGCTGAACTGGACTGCTGACATGTTCAACCATGCTTGCAACATGCTTGGGTCATTGCGTTGTTGCACATACACGAAGAGGACACTCCACATCCATGGGTTGCTGGGGTTCTCCAGGCTAAAAACGCATGAAAGAGAAACGGCCAGCACAAACACGTCTATGGCAAACTTTGCAAGCCTGTTGGCACTTTCAACCTTCTAAGCTCTTGGTGCATCCGGTTTGGCAGCCCCAACGGATGCGAGGCATTGCGGAGAGGACGCGGTTGAGGAGCTCCTCTGGCAACTAAATGGGCAGGCACTGGCCTCTCCCGTGCCCTGCTACCCGTTCCGCAAGGCACCGCCGCAAGGATGGCTTGTAGTTTCAGCTGCCGGAGGGTGTCCTGGAGACACTGCTGCTCTTCACTTCTAACAAGGTCCAAAGTTAAAATCGGACCTCTGCCTTATGCTCATTCCTGGGTCCATCGACCGGCCAAATTGCAAAACCTGCTGCTTCGCTGCACGGCTTAGCCGCCCACTCCCTGCAAAAAACTTCGCAGAAAAGCGCTCTATCGGAGCTGGGCTCGCAAGAAAAAACTGGTAATGTTGCATGCACTGGTGTCGGAGTCTGATGTGCTGACTTCGCACGCTTTTCGGCTGGTGGCTCCGAATCCTCCCCAAAATGGGGGGCCATTTGTCACGAATGGTCGCAGGAATAAGGCTTCGGCTTGAAGCACTGCCAACACACAGGGAATCCACGTTTGCACCTTTTGCCAGGCTTTGCGAAGTCACAGGAACCTCGGTTGAAGGTATTGCAGATCGGTTTGCCCTGGGGCGTCATTTGGTGGCAATTTGGCGGCAATGCTTGGGCCGACGGCGTGAAAGGTTTGTTGAATTCCTTTCGCACTTTTCCGTTTCCCTTCCCCTTTCCTTTGGGTTTTGGGGAAGGGGAGTGCGCACTGCTGTTTTTTGGTGGCCCCCCTTACCATGGGGATCAGGCAAAATTGCACTTCCGCATGGTCGGCACAGGTATCAAAGTGAGCTTCCATTGGCTTGGATCCATCTGGCTGTTGTGCAAGGGCACCTCTGGTCTTCTCTGCAAGTTTCCTGAACAGCATCTTGTCGGCCTCTCGGAGTTGGTGCATCGTCACAGGCATAGCACTTGGAGCTGGCTCCTTTTGCAAAACTTCAAAAATTCGTTCATGCCAAGCTTCCATGACTGTGTACCTACATAGCTGTGCTACGTCAAAAGCCCTAGCCCTTCTGTTAAGGGCCTGACGTACTCGCATCTCAACGGTGACGTTTGCGTCAGGGCTTTGCGTCTTTGCAGCTATTTTCACACACCCTTGGCTATCCAAAGAGAACTTCAAGTCTTTTTGGCTATGGGTGATTTCACTGCTCCTGCTTGTCAACTTTTCCCAAGGTGTCCACTCTAAAGTTTGGTCTACTGCCATTTGGCAAATCGTGTCGACCAACTTATGGCTCGGCTCAGTCTCAGGGCTGAAATGCAGCCCAGGCAAACGTTTCTTCTGGTCTTCCAACCGGGCGTTTCTTTCTGCAACAGGCATCTTGGTTGGCTCAGCTGTCTCCTCCCTGTCTGAACGTTGCTTGAATTCATGCACTGCTAAGGTCGTGGATTCGGAGAAAAGCCTGCGCAGTGCAATGGTCTCTGCATTGGTTGGCTCCCGGCCCATGGTCTGTGTCAGGGCCGTGATCAGTGGCTTTACATCTGCTTGACCTGGCTGGTAGCTGGTGATGAACGCATACGAAGCTTTTCACTCCACCAAGCTTGAGGCGGTCAATTGCATCATCTGGCAGCCCTGTCTCAGTGGCCCTCGCCCTGATTGCTGCTTCTGACTCTAATCCTGTGGACATTGCGCAAAATGACCGTTGAACTATCTAATAAAAAATAATGTTTGAGTCTTTCCGTTATTTAGTTTTCTGTCTTGGTGAGCTTGTGAAAAGGAAGTGGCGTTTGAAAATGTCTGACGTGCGGTTATCTGACATCGTAATTTCTCTTTGAATCTGAGCTGGGTTTTTTGCCAAAGTTTACAGCTCTCTGACAAGGCTGATGGCTTAAGCCTGGCATGAAAGCGCTCTTAATGTCTGGCGTGGTGATGATTCCCAGATACCAGGATTGTGATGTCCTGGCTTCGCCATCCGGAGTCTTGCCAGGTTCTGAGGCCATGTTTGCTCTTGCTGATTTCTTGTGATGATGAAGGAAAACAAAGAAATCAATGCATTCACACCAGCTGATCTGCCCCGTTTAAAGCGCGGCCACTCTTTTTATCACTGGCAAGGCTGTCACGGCTGCTTTATGGTGGACCCTCTGAGCTGGAATCATCTGAAATATGGTGCACTGGCTCTGCATGTTGCCCCCCCTGGACAGGGGGCGTGGGCACGCTCCAACTTGACATTGGTGCATCCAATTGCAATCTGTTCTCAGTAACGGCCAGGGCTAGTTCTCCCCTGTCAGCAAAAATTCCGATGCAGCTCCTTGCAAAGAGGAAGAAAGTATTCCATTCTAGAAATTGCATGATTCCCGTTCTCATTTCAAAGAGGCGCCATATAGATTGCAAAAAATTGGAGCCCCTGAAGCTCGCCGTGAACCGAGCCAGGCTGCAAACAAGTTTGACTGGTGCAGCCATCCTCAGCACAAAAGCCAGATGAAGCAGCTGATCCAGCCACAAGCAAAAGCGATAAGGAATGCCCACCAGTTGAGTCTTGCGTCACACTTCTCAGCTTTCCACGCTGTTACTGCAGTCTTTCCCCTCTTCCGCGGATCGGCCATCCACAGTTTCAAACGAAAAACTGAACATGAAGTTAATGGGGAATGATCCTGTAGTAACTTATTTCATACGTGTAACTTTTGACATTGGGGGGCCCTTATATTATGCTTTGAGTTGGCAATGAAGTGAAAGGTTGTCTGATTAACCTCAAGTGTGAAAAAGATCATGCTTCTCGTCATGGTTTATCCCTGGTTTGAGCCGTGCACTGATGGCGGCCTAGCCCGCTTGTTGTGCAGCCCCATGGAATCATGACATGAGATGGAACAAACGCCAGCGAAAAGTTTCACTCAGCTTTCCACCTGATCTATTGCCACATATATAAGAGAAAAACAAAAAGGGTGCAGCGGCTTCCCTTTTCTAAACTTCTGCCTGAAATCCCATTGCCTGCATCTGGGTTGGTACATAAGCTGTTTACCTGCGGCATTTAAGAAGTTGTAGGTCCTCCGGCGCCATCTGTCAGATTTGTATCCAGTAGATTGTGCCGAAGGCGTGGCCATTCGAACCTGGTACACAACTTGTACCAGTTCCGATTGGCCAAACCCAGAGCACCGCTTGCATCCTTGTGTGTCTGCAGTGAAACATCTTTCGGCCGTCAGTTGTTCCCCGCTGGCCCACCTGACATTGTTGTCTTGTATGACATGGACTCTGCTTCCACTATCTGCAAACCGTTGTGACTGTTGACACTCAACGAAGCCAGCTTGATGGAGTCTCCAAACCTTGAGCAGCTCCCAAGACAAAGGAGCATGTGGCCAGCTATCATTCTCCAGTGATCATAGGGTGCCAACGTCGCAACATTTTCCAGTGCCACAAACATCACAACTGTCAGTGGGTAGGTTTGCCGCAAAGGTCTCTTCAATGAGTACATTGCACGAGCAGCACCCCTAACTCGAGATGAAAGTGCATCCACACCTTGTACCAAAAAACCTGCATGGAAGTGCAAGAACGTCCATGCCTGGAGAAATGAGGAGGCAGTAGTTGGAGCTCCATGTTCCTTCAGCCATTGCAAATATCTGTAGATCATGCTCTCTGTCGCACTCACTGCTGGGCCCAAACCATTGTCAACGCACCAGTTGTGGAAACGCCACAATGCAGATGATCTCTTTGCCAGGGTCACCACAGCTTTTCCAGTAAAGGCATCGCCCAGAGATCTAGACCAATCTGCCTCATCCGACAAGAGGCTGAAACCTGAGACCAGTGATCGCCCCAACTTCGTCGCTGCTGGATCGCTCAGCAAAATGGTCTTGGGCTTCTTCATGGCCTCCCAGAGAATGTGGTCATCAGTTTTGACCAGCTGAGTGTGCCGTAGTCTGTTGGCTGCCAACTTAGCGGCAAGACCTGAAACTGGCATAGCATTTCCCGTGTCTAGAGGCAAAACAACAGCTGGCACCATTCCCAGGCTTGGCGCCTTGAACAAATGGTCCATTTTCCTCCCCGAAGGTGACAAAATGTCAAAAATTGGAGCTTTGGCCGTCTGCATGGCTGGTGACCTTTGCAACGTCAGCCACGCGTCAAATACAGCAGGTTGCATTTCGAACCTAATATCTGGAGGGGCTCTGGCTGCTGTGGGCCCCACACTGCTTCGAGGGTTGTTTTCGCGTCTCTCCACCAGTAGCACTTCTGATGAATCCGAACTGTCGCCAACTGAAGGGGGATTCACTTCCTCCCCTTCAGCTGGCACCTCCATTGCTACCCCCGACTCTCACGCAGCATGGGGCCTAGAATTTTTTTCTAAACCCTCCTTCCCGCCCAGCCAGAGCTGCACGGGATAAAATGAAAACGTTGTTTGAGAATAAAAACAGAAATAATTTGTTTGTTCAGATTTCCCAAGATTAAACATGTTAAGATTTTAGGTTTGGAAAAACACTGGATTGTTTTACCACACATTTCCTGAGAGTTCAAGTAACTGGAGATGGTACTTGATATTACGAAGATAGGACTATGGGGTCCAGACATTCAACAATGGTTTTTTGAATGACAAGGTAAGACAGATCAGCTTATTGATAGCTGAGGTGAAGAAGATGATGGGGTTCTTATTTTAGTTTCGCTTCCGTGCCTCTGATGGCACTGTGAAAACTTTTAAAAGACAATTTTATCCCTTTCAGGGAGATGCACCTTCCGGCCCCAGAAATGGAACCTGAAAGCGCACATATGGTATCAGCTGTCTCCGTTCCCTAGCTCCAATGCGGCGACTGCAATGCAGCACCACCCCGGCAACATTCACCAATCCGTCGCTACTCCGCGCTACTCCGCTACTCCGTGGTATGTTTTAATTCAATTACCCAATGTAATTGACACGATATGTACAAGAAACACATTGGGACGCACAGAGAGAAAAAGCATGTGGTAACACTTACGCTCATGCTAGTGCGTCGCAAATCTGCTTGCAAAACATCTGCGGGCAGCAGCAAAATTTTCCGATGGCTGGCCCCACTTTTGGGTCCAAATCTGGACCCCAAAAAGGGGCCCAAGCAAAGACCTAAAAGAAGGAATGAAAATGTGATCCAATTCTGGACCCTATTTTGGGATCCATATTTGGACCCAAAAATGGGGTCAGCCATCGGAGAATTTCGTTGCTGCCCGCAAATGTTTTGCAAGCAGATTTGCGACCCAGCAGCTTGAACATGAATGTCAACACATACCTTTTCTCTTTATGCGTCCCAAGGCCGCTTGCTACTGTCGAGGTCTCTCTATCGCAGCCATGTTTTGAGCACTTTTTTCGGCCCTGTTTTTGGGGCCATGATGAAGCAGGTTTGTTGGCATTCGAGGCGCTCCGAGGCTCACCGAGGCCTGCCCGAGGCCAGGCCTCGGACGCAAAACGTAATGGCACGAGGACAAAGCAAGGCTCACGGGGACTCGAATCTATATAATACACGTCAAGACTGAATGAGCTGAAACCAAAAAACGCTGGCGATGATCACCAGCCAAGATATCCATTGCTTTCATGAAAGCCTGCAGTCCAGAATGAGGACACATGCCCCGTGTGGGACCTTAACTTCAAAGCACATGCAGATTTTCGTCCCTCGATATGTTCCGTCTCTCTTGCGAAACAAAGAACACACCATGTGGCCGCCATGGCCTCAACTACATGTGATCCTGTCTCGATAGTTTTTGCGCGGGCAGCGCAGAACCCCCACACCCCCGGCGGCAATGCTGCTGTGGAACGCTGTAAAGAAGCATATGACAGCTTCAGTCCATCTCACACTGACGCAGCATTGCTGCTGGGGAGCGGGGCGTATTCAACAGATCTCTTAAAGCGGCAGGCCCAATATTTCAAAAGCTTAAGCCCGTGGCAGGCGCAGTACTTTGGCAGCTAACAACCCCGTCGCAGGCACAATATTTCAGAAGCAAACATGGCCACATCACAGCTTAAACCCGTGGCAAGCACAGCATTTCAGAAGTAAACAACCACACATCTCAACCTGTGGCAAATATTGCAAACAAACATGGCCACCTCACAACTTAAACCCTGACAGCTGCGGTACTTGACAAACAAACATGGCCACCTCACAGCTCAACCTACAGTAGTTGCAGTTGCCGTACGCTGGTGCTGTGCACCACAATGCTAAAAAGCTTTCCCAGACCTAGTTTTTTAGATTGCACAAGGGCAGCGTAAAGCCGTTAAATCGTAAAGTTCAATTTTCTTCAAAAAAGCTCTTTGATGTTTTAAAAAAATCCCAACTTTACCACTTTATGATTTTATGATTTAATGATGCGATTTTCAATCTAAAATGTAAAACCAAAGGTAATTGAGAGAGGGCGGAATTTAAAAATAGCCACGAACTTTTTCGCAAGACTAGGAAGGGTGTTTTGGGCTTGTTCCCATTTCATCCTTTTCCAATGGATGCATATTTCAATCAGCAACATGACAAGAAGAATGTCAAGACTGTCTATATCCGTGTCAGGTCTAAAAAGCATGAAATCAAGCCCCCTCTTTAAAGTCATTTTCACCTTGGTTCGCGGCAATGCTTGGAAAGCAGGCACGTATGGAAACATGGATGTTGATAAACAGGACAAGATGGACGACAGGCAGCATCCATCAATCGATTTGCATGTGCTATCACCTTGGGACATGTCAAGAACCACCACTGGTTGCTTCTTGCGCTGGAAACCTTCATGACAGACATGCTCCCAAACTGCGGAATTTTGTTCATAGTCAATGACATGTTTGAAGCCAAGCGGTGGTGTTGAAAATGAAGCAAAATGTGGCTTCATCTATTGAAAATTCGACAGAAGCGCAACCAAAAATGGAAGCAGAAAATGGCATCAGGCATTCACCGGCAAGCAGCGCAAAGTCTACTCAATAGCCTTTGTTTTCTCATTGCTACGCTGCAGTCGCATACGCGCGGAGTTTAAGAAAACGTTGTCGTCGTCACTGCTGGCAGGCAATCGTGCCTTCAGATAAAGCAGCTTCCCTGAAATACTTTGAACAGAAAAACCGTAACCAGGAAAAACCTTGAAAGCACACTTCAATAAATGTTCTTTTTGATGGTGGGCGCCGTCACTTTTGTTCTTCAGCACTGATGAACCAGTTCAAATCGGCGTTCCTCAAGACCCCAAGATCAAAACCAGCGAAATACTTAGATAAAATTTTCATCCATTGGAAAAGGATGAAATGGGAACAAACCCAAAACACCCTTCCTAGTCTTGCGAAAAAGTTCGTGGCTATTTTTAAATTCCGCCCTCTCTCAATTACCTTTGGTTTTACATTTTAGATTGAAAATCGCATCATTAAATCATAAAATCATAAAGTGGTAAAGTTGGGATTTTTTTAAAACATCAAAGAGCTTTTTTGAAGAAAATTGAGCTTTACGATTTAACGGCTTTACGCTGCCCTGGTGCAATCTAAAAAACTAGGTCTGGGAAAGCTTTTTAGCATTGTGGTGCACAGCACCAGCGTACGGCAACTGCAACTACTATCGGGTGACACGTTTTCATTGGTAAGAATCCGGGTGAAATTTGAAGCCGTTACCAGCTTCACGATATGTCCATGCAATGTAAATAAAAAACATGGGCTACGGACTTCTTTGCAACACGAAGCAGACGAACAGTAAGTAATTAAGTGACACCGCCGCCTTCAATGATGGCTAACAACCAAAGAAGCAACAAGTGAACGAACGAAAATGCTGCTCTCAATGATGGCAAGTAAGTAATGTATATGTTTCAAAGCTTCTCTCCAATTTACATATCCAACAAACGCATTTTGTCATCATTGAGGGCAGCGCTTCAACTTAACTACTTGATGTGTCTTTGCTAGGGAAGAAAATACAAGGGGCTCAGACTCAGAGAAACAAATCAAAATTCACAGAAACAAACAAATAAAAACGAACCTATCGAAATAAAGAAGGAAATAAAGGAGCCGACGAAATTCAGGGAAATATGCAGAGAAAATTCAGAACCTTGAAAGAAGCCCGGGGATATGGGAAAGAAAAGAATTCGGGAAAATCAATATGGAAAACACTGACAATAAAGTAGCGGTTCGGGGAAATAAATCATGAATTTCCGGATATAAATGAACGATGCAAGAAACAAATAAGGAGCACAGGAAACAACAAGAACGCAAGGAAATAAACAGCGAAGTGAGCGCAATAGTCCAAATAGAGCATGCATGGAAATACATCATGAATTCAGGGCAGCGAGCAAGGAACTCGAAGCGCTCCAGCAGCTCAATAAGGAGCTCTGGGAAATGAATATGGGACTCAAGGAAATAAACAAGGCACCTGGGGACATAAATACGCGATTGAGGGACATAAATCAGAAACCCCGGAAACAAAAAGACGTTCAGGGTCAAGAACTCTGGGAAACAAAAAGAGGTTCAGGGAAATAACAAAGCGATGAAAATAGCTTCAAATTTCACCCGGATTCTTACCAATGAAAACGTGTCACCCGATAGTAGTTGCAGTTGCCGTACGCTGGTGCTGTGCACCACAATGCTAAAAAGCTTTCCCAGACCTAGTTTTTTAGATTGCACCAGGGCAGCGTAAAGCCGTTAAATCGTAAAGTTCAATTTTCTTCAAAAAAGCTCTTTGATGTTTTAAAAAAATCCCAACTTTACCACTTTATGATTTTATGATTTAATGATGCGATTTTCAATCTAAAATGTAAAACCAAAGGTAACTGAGAGAGGGCGGAATTTAGAAATAGCCACGAACTTTTTCGCAAGACTAGGAAGGGTGTTTTGGGCTTGTTCCCGTTTCATCCTTTTCCAATGGATGCATATTTCAATCAGCAACATGACAAGAAGAATGTCAAGACTGTCTATATCCGTGTCAGGTCTAAAAAGCATGAAATCAAGCCCCCTCTTTAAAGTCATTTTCACCTTGGTTCGCGGCAATGCTTGGAAAGCAGGCACGTATGGAAACATGGATGTTGATAAACAGGACAAGATGGACGACAGGCAGCATCCATCAATCGATTTGCATGTGCTATCACCTTGGGACATGTCAAGAACCACCACTGGTTGCTTCTTGCGCTGGAAACCTTCATGACAGACATGCTCCCAAACTGCGGAATTTTGTTCATAGTCAATGACATGTTTGAAGCCAAGCGGTGGTGTTGAAAATGAAGCAAAATGTGGCTTCATCTATTGAAAATTCGACAGAAGCGCAACCAAAAATGGAAGCAGAAAATGGCATCAGGCATTCACCGGCAAGCAGCGCAAAGTCTACTCAATAGCCTTTGTTTTCT